TGGTCCACAATGCTGCGCCTCCATCATGGTGCCACTACACCAGGAAATGCCAGTCTGTGATGTCTGTGGATGGACACGCAGCGCGAGCACCAGCTGAAGCAACATCTTGAGGCTTAGAGCTCCGTGGATTACAGACTTGCCAACCCAGTTTGCAAGCTTCTTTGTTTCTGGTCCTTCCAACGAGCAACCAATTTAGGAGCGATGCCACTCACGTTCTCTGGGCTTTGTGCAGTACAACTGCGGAGTCTTCCCACAGAAAAAATGTGCCCCAAGGAACTCGCTGTGGTGAGGGGCTTGTGCAGGGTATGTTTCAACTTGCTGGAATCTCCTACAAAGTCGCGATCCGAGGGCGTGGGCAGTAGCTGATTCTGTTTTCATTCTTCAACAGGACCTGCCCCACAACACGCCGAACACAGCTTGCCCAGTTTCACGCTCCAAACTTATGCTTCCAAAACTAACCTGTCGCAGGTTCAAGTACCGAATCCTCCAACCTGAAAGAGCGACTTCGGAAAGACGCAGCCGGCCCAAACTAATTTCGTGACTGGGCGGCAACAGCGGAGCTGCACACCAAAAACAGGTCGAACTTGATCCAGTTGCTCTTGAAGACTGGCCGACCATAGGTGTAGAAACGCAAGAGAAACCTCAGTCAAACAAAACCTCAGCCAAGTTCGAAGGAGTATGGGGCAAAACAAGCATCCCTGTGGCTTGATGGATATCGCCGTGACACACATTGACATGCAAATCGCTGGCTCCAGGCTCCGAGTCTCTTGAGAAACCAGGCAATCAAGTGCAGCTCTCTGAGACTTCCAAACTAAACATCAACATACTCATGCTGGGATGCTTCTACTTGCTTGGTCGGTTGGTTGGCGCCGTTAACACAGCCATAAGCACTCTTGCAGAACGTGTAGAACCCCTTGCACCAGTCTTTAGACGGGCCACTCAATGACGTAGATCCCGAAAAACACGTAGTCGATGTAGACAAGCCACAGCCTTGTCAGCAGCTGAATCACCTTTCCCATTGATACTCTCCCTTTGATACTGTGGACAAAGTTCTGCACCCCTGCACCAGTTGATAGGTGGCTTCTCTCAGTATTCTAAGGTGTCATCCATCCCAAACATTTTTGGCCCAGAGTATCAGCCCGGTGCCTATTGCCTTTGCTGCATTGAATCACCCGAAGGAGAAGCAGATCTTCCTCTTGGGTCAGTCGTCGCATCCCTTTTGTGGGGCTAGTTGGCAAAGTCAATGTAGCCACAACCCGACAAAAAGGCACCTCACCGATTGGAAGGACCCAGGTGACAATGCCTGCAAAAGGAATCTACTCAGATTTGTGACCGTCATGCTCATGTCAGCCACAAGCGTCAGCTTGCCCAAGGAGGGCATCTCAATAGGGCAATCTGTTGTTTCGACGTGTGCAGTCGCAATGTCCTGCCAAAAGATAGACCTACGATTGAAGCCTTAAGTCTTGCCAGTGAACGCACCCGATTGTAGCGGCATGCATGACAAAACGCCACCTAGCCGTCAATCATAGTCAACCCGAGGAAGCAACACGTAACCTTTTGTACCAGGTAAGTCCAGAGTATGGGCACACTGACAACGAACGATTTGAGATACAAGGATATCCTGGTTGTTTACTTGAAGTGTGAATATGATGCATTTGTTCATCTTGCGAAGGCTCCGATGGTTCCTAACATGCTAACTAGTGGCCGGTTGAAGAAGGACGTAGGGCTGGCTGCTTCTCAAAATAAGGGGCCCCTGAAACAGCTTCCTTTTGGTTTCCCTTTAGCCGGACTTGCTTTGGTCGCCACGGGACGGCTTGAGTAGTTCCGGCGGTGCCGGGGATTTGAACCGCCCCAACTTTGATGGCCATCGCCTTCTTGGCTTCCCTTCAGAGCCATGCCAAAGGGCACCTTTTGAGAACGTCCCCAGTCACCGTTGATTGCCTTTGCATCTTCCCAGATCGGTTTCCCAGCGCATCATTCCGCCGCGGTGCGGCATCCCTTGGCATGTCGCGGAGCTATCTGCGCATCGGCACTCCGGGTTGCCTGGGAGCAAACGCCAAATTTCCACGTCAGCCCTTCCTTGGAGCTACTAAAGGCCTTGACTTGTGAGAAATGCATCAGGCTCTTGGTACAAACAGAAACAAAGCACGCAAACATATAACCATGCTGCCGCTGTGAAACAGCTTGGCCGATGTTTGATAAGCGAGGAGCAAGCTGAACGCAGGAGTGGCTAGTGATCGGCCATAGTTTGCTGCTGCCACAGAAACTCACACTAATGTTGCCTGGGAGCATGTCAAGCAAGTTCAATGTACTGCGTGCTGTTCTTTTTGGATGTACCATGGGAGTGCGTTCTTCTGATGGACAAGTCACGGCAAACAAAACTTTAAATGGACACAACATTGGCCAACAAACTGAGTGGCACGAATCAGGGAAACCCCTGGCGTTTCGATGCAGTTCGGCTCCAAATGACTTGGTAAAGCAGTCTAAGCCACCAATGAGACAAGATCCACTGGATCATTCGCCCCATCTGCATTTGCTGGTGGGCTGCAAGAACCAGCGACACGTTTCATCCCGTCCAAGGCGCAACCAGATGGGATCTGCAGTGCATAATGCGTCTCAAGGCCGATGGTCACCGCGTTGGCGATGATCACTATGCCCACGGCAGAGTCAAAGCCTGACCGCGCTACGAAGCTGGCACCAAGGTTCCTGAGGATCTTAAGACTGAGGCAAGCTACCCCACACATTGCGAATCAGCAAGCCAGCCAGTAGGTGATCTTCCAGTGAAGGAATTTGCAGTGAGTTTTCTGGAATCTATGGTAGCTGCAAACATGTCCGTTTCCAGGAGCCCGAGCACAGCTGTTTTGGACAAGGACTGCTGACTCAGAGTTGAGCTAGCCGACAGGGGGGAACTTGGAAGGAAAAGTGATCTGTCAACATCGCCCAAGGTCAGCCCGCGTTCTCCTTTGGACAGCATCAGAGCATCCATGGATTGGGCACGGAAATCACTCCGAATCATCAACAAGCTGCGATAATGTGCTGGACTGAAATCAAGGATCCGTAAGCACGGAACTCTAGCACCTGCATCGTAAGATACTGAAGCACGTTCTTTTTTTGTTGTTTCAAGAAAACACGACAGCAAAACAACACGTGTTGGAAACCCTACACATCACAAAGGATGGAACATCATCACCGGACATGTACCGTCTCTTCGTGCCCTGCCCAACGTCTGCAAACCAGGACCCCATGCAATGACCATTCTTAAGTATCAAATGAAGCTCCAAGGGACTTGGCCCAAGCAGCCTCCATGTCATGTGGCTTTGGCCACCATCAGCACGGAGCCAAACACCGCACGCATTGCTTCCCGCATCTTCCCCTTTTGCTTCGCGCGCGCAAGCGAAACGCGCGCGCCTGACCAGGAGATCCAGCGGTGCAGCACCTGGCGCGAGTGGTCCAGCGTCATGAAGTCCAGCTTCATGGCTTTCATCACCTCGCTCGATTTCGGATGAAGAGCGGCGAAATCCAATCCATACGCCCCCCCCTCTCTGCCCGACAAGAAAACGGGGAAGCTGATAAGGCTTAATGCGGTTCTTTTGGGAAAGACCCCTGTCCACTTCCGTGACTGGCGAACAAAGGTACTGGACACTTCCAGGGTTTGCTTGGCAGATTTCCGTGTTTTAGGGAGAAACTTTGAATACGAAGGATAGCAATGCAAATGTCATGCAGGCCAAAACTTGCTACGCAATATTTATGGCAAAACACTGCTCACAATCATGAGGCGTCAAACAACAAGGCGCCAACCATGCGTGCCAAACTGACGTAAGCTGACACCAGCACCGTTCCCCACATCTAAGTGCCAATCATAGAAAGCTTCAAGGGCGGCGGAGTTTCCGCTACCGAGTTCTTCCACTTTTCCCGATTTTTCTGGGTTTATTCCACATTCCTCAATGTGTCCGGTGTGTTTTGGGGAAGTTTGGGCGCAGATTGGTGCAAGAAACGTACCAAAGGAACTGGGACACCCACGAAGAAACGCAAAACAAAACTTCAGAGATTCCGACACATATCGCCTCCTGCGCTTTGGTGCCCAGGTTTTGCTCCTCCGCCCGCTTGGCCTAGCTGGTGTGGGAAAGAAGTGGGGGTGTCATAGGGATTTGGGAACCTGTTTTAGGTGTCCCTACCCAAAAAAGGAGGGCACCCTCAGTGGCAACTGTTTCCTGTTGGCTTCCCTAACACCAACCAAATGGTCCACCATTTTGAGAAAGCCAAGTGGTTGGACTTTCCAACACGGAGTTTGTCCACTTGTCGGCGGTCGCCAGTGACATTCATAGCCGTGCCTTTGCTCCTAATCGATGCACTTTGGTTGCCTTTCGAAACCATCTCCAACTCGTGTCTGACAGCTGCTGGAAAAAAAAACAGCTCTTTCGCATGGCTAGATGCAAACATGTGCGTTCTTCGAAAAAAGAAGAAGAAAAACACAAAAAAGGAAAAACACAGATGACAAACAATGGAATTTTGGTTTCACATTTGGCTCTGAAATCACGCAAGGCCGCACGTCTTGACAACACCTGCATCCGTCCCTTCAAGTGGCGAATCTACCTGTGACTACCTGTCTTTTTTCAACCAGGGTTCAGCCACAGGGGCTGAAACTCAAAAGCCGCCTTTTGGAAGAACTGAGTAGACGTGGGGAGTGGGGACACATCGCACATTTGGACAAACGTGCTGGGTTCCAACTTTGCGCGAGATCGCGCCAGTGCCACAAGCAATACTTGCCCATAACCCAACAAAAGCCATCATGCTGCAATAGGGGCCGAGATCCTGGGGACCCCTTTTTTTGGGCTCCCTGCCGATTTGGGGGAGCATGTTCGACATTCGACCTGCCCAGCAACACACACAAAAAAAAGAAAAACAACTCGTGCTTGCAGATCAAGGCCCGTGTCTCGTGTTTCCATCCAAATGGGCCTGGCCTCCTCAAAGGCGGCGATCCTCAGAGCCTCCTGCTCCATGGCGGCCTTCCTCACGGCCACGGGGCGACGCGCACCCGCTTCCCGGCTCACTGGGGTCGCAGGGGCCATGGTCAAAATACCCCAATAACCCGGTTTTCTGGGGATTCGTGTGGTCATCAAATTGAAATTGGGGGGGTCCTACACTTCGGGACCAGCCAAACAGGGTGATCGCATCACAAGCTGAGGAAGACGTTCAGTTCATTTGCAACCAGCAGGTTTCAAATGACCTGCAGGGTATTGGAGGCCTCCAGCCTTGGAATTGACAAAGTTGCAAGACCAAACCAACTTGGAAGCGCTCAAAAGCTGGGTGCACTACAACATGCCAGCACCAGTCCCTTGGCCAAACTTTCGGGATTCACAAAGCAAAGGATCCCCAGCCCGAAACCTTCATACTTCCCCCACATGTAAAACAAAGCCTCTGGTTGCAATGACTCTCCCAGTTCCTTCGCCCCCGTTGATCTCTTCCCGCTCCTTTCCCGCAGCACGGAGGGCACGTTCTCCTTCGCCTTGCCGCTCTCGGCCTCCTTCGCCTCCTTCGCCACGCCGCCCGCGGAGCCCGCGGCTCCCGCGGTTCCCGCGACGCCGGCCGCCTTCGCATTCGCGCCGAAGGAGGTCACAGAGGCCGCAAGGCGGGACCTGGGAACTGGACAGAGTCGAAAATGCACCATAGGTTCCTTTTAAGATTTCCAGTGCTGGCATCTCCAACATCCCCAGTGAATGATGATCCCCGTGAGCCGCCCCATTGAAGGGTCGTCTTGACACCTTGGGATGTGAATGAAGCCGTGGTATCAGAAGCTCTCTTCAGCTGATGCTGCAACTTGATCAGTGCGAGGAAGTCCTGGAACCCAAGGCTCAGTGAATCTAAGTGAAGCTTGATTGTGACGAGCATGCCAGTTGCAAGACAGGCAAGCTATCTACAACTCGCCCAGTGCTTGAACGAAGCGCGAGCACCTTGGAGGTAGGGCTTACCCTTGCCCCTCTTGGAGAAGAACAAGATTTGCTTGCTCCTGCAAAAAGGCGGAAGCCCTCTAAGACACAGGTCTGTTTCGAAATGTGCAATGGTTGAATCTTTGCCCATTGCGGGGGATGGAATCCTCAACCAGCTTTATGTCTTGCGGCTCCAATTGGAGACCTTCACTTTGTCTGAACATCCCTGGTGCCATTGGATATGGGCTGAAGCTTGGGAGCCCTTGGGATTTCCCGAATGGGAGGCCCAACGGGAAACGAAGAGACTGGCGAGATGAACGATCTCTATCTTTAAGGAATCCGCATCTCGAATCAGCTTGATCTCCTCTCGTTTCTGGCTTGGGCCTTGCTTCGCCTACCCCAACATAGCCAACAAAAATGCCGTCGTAAGATGCCAAGTTTGTGGCTGCGCCCCTCCTTCAGCTCACTGATTCTTGCTTTGTGCCTCAACTCCCTCCGTGGCACCGCAAGCAAGGCAGCTGCCTGCCTCGAACTGGTGCTGGAGGCGGAGTGAAGCGATATCTGGGCGGACAAGTGAACATACAAGGCAACGGCGTTGATAGCGACCACAAGGAAGCTGAACAAGACGCGCAGAACAGCACTGCCCTGGCAATTCCAGCTAAGTCACATCAAATCGCCATATGAGTCACAATCATGTCAAATATGTCCTTAGGCAACCTTTGCGAATCTTGCACCAACGATGGCTGGAAGCGTGACTTACCGATCTGGATGTTGTGGCTAACATCAAGACAACGGGAGCCAAGGGTCGCAACTCCTGTCAAAGCCTTGAGTTCTATGCCCAGTCTCAATCAGTCTGCCTTATGTGGAGTCCTTGACCAAAGCTTCAATGTTAGCGCCAAAAACAAGGTCCATCGCAGAACCTTCGCAGAGCCCATATACAAGTGTTTTGCAACGCTGGTGCTGAGAAACTCTGTAACTTTGCAAGATATCAAACTCAGGGTACGCCGAAGTTGAACAGCATTGGGCTGAGTATTACATTCTATGACCATGTGTTTGCCTGATTTGCTCCCGTAACGGCTATTGAACATGCAGCTGCGGAACCGACATACTGGATGTATGCTTCTCAGCAATACAGGCTCGTAAAACCCGATGTTCCTCTTCCGGGCGCCCGCAAATGTAACGGCACCAACCGCGTGATTGGGACTCAAGCTTCTATTGCCACCTCTCCCAAGACTCTTGGGGCTCTTCCACAGCAGCGCTGGCTCTCAACGCCTCGCCCTGAGAGCCCGACTCTTGAGTTGACCTCGTTGACCGCCAGGGGAGCGTCGAGCTGATCCGGCCGACGCTCATTCCTATGCGCACGCTGCACGGTTGCTCAATTTCATGAAGGACATCCTACATATTCTCAAATGCAACATGTCAAAACGGCCAGGCCGGATTTGCGGCAAGTGGATTGTTGCTGGTATAGCAAGGTAGCCTCCGCAACATGACCGCCAAAAACAAGGCAGCGTGGACATTGCAGGTAGATTTGCAAATCGAGCCGACTGGCACCGAAATCACAAGGTGATAAAATATTACATCTCAGCGTTTGCCCCACCAAAAAACAAAAACATGAATCTGGTTCATATTCAAGGAACCTTGACACATTAAATATGTTCCAATGAAACATATTTCAGGCAAATAAAGTCCTCAAAAATTGGCGGTCAGGTACTGCAAGGTCTTGGCAATTCGGAAATCAACAATTGCCGTGTTACTCTTGCGGCGCAAGCAAGGTGATTCCTGCTGGTACTTACGTAGCAGGAAGCAACATTGATTGACCTGCATGGCCATGGGTCAAAATCCCGTAATTGCGGTGACATCCCAATCCCCAATAAAATAGACTAAAATGGATACCATTGGTTTGACCCACAGCCACATCGGTGAACTGCAATCTCCTTGCATCCCGGGCGTCTCTGCCCACGCAAGGCTCCGCTGTGGCACCTCCAATGAGGGCCGCCGGACCTGTCGGACAGTCGCGTCCGAAGGACATGTACCATGATCATGGTCGTGCTTGCTTCGGCAGAAACAGCGTACCAGGTGCAGACAGGCCTTCATATTCATGTCCGACCGCAGGTCTAAACTTAGTCTTGCAGCTAAACTGCCACTGCTTATGTCAGTTGGCAAAGGTCATCCCATTGCAGATGTGCGGCTTTGACTTCCCTTATCCCGCTACGACACTGTTCTCCAGTTTGGACTTATGTAATATACGTTTCAAATTAGAACCCAAGGCCACGTGTTTGTTCTGTGGAATCGAGTAAGGGGCCACGAAGTCTTGGCCTTGTCTGGTGGAACCCCGGAATGCTTCTGTTCGGCGCAAGTAATCCTAGCATTGAGGTAGGTGCTCATGGCAATCTGGATCCCGGTAAGCCTGTGGCTCAGGTGGCTCGGGTGCTCAACAGGAAGTCTGCGCGGAAGCAACCTGTTCAATTCGTTGAGCCATGATCAAGCCCCCTTGCTTGGGGGATGATATCATTCCTTGAATAAATATATTCTGCACTATCTCTGCAGGACGAGCCAACACAGAGTGTTTCTACCATAGCCGAGCCTGCAAGGCTTTGATTCAATGTACAGATTGCACCCGGCTGCCCCGCCTGGACAGCCCGAGAAGAAGGCATAGCTGCATCTTCACCAAGGCCAGGAAGGCAATGTGTTGACCCGCAGGCTCCACGGCGTTCGGGGACCTTGTGCTTCGATGTGCTTCGGGGAAGTCCTGTCACTTTGGCACAAAGATATCCAGCATTTCTACGTGAGTTGCAGGTATCTGATTCCAAGTGAACACGTGTGAAGCCTTCTAGAAGCATTTAAACTGCCTATATCTAAGTGACAGTGCCTTTCTTTTAAAGGAATCGGTAGCCGCTAAAATCAGAAGATTCAGCCAACATGCTCAAAGAGCTGCTTGAAGCTATCTGCGGCACCAGCATTGCATCTCCACTAGGCTCGTGGACATGGAGCCGAGAGACGCGAAGCCACATTGCCAATCACTGGTTTCCATTGCTTCAGAAACTGAATGCTCGCGAGGGTCCACTACGCCATTTCCATGAGAGAAACAGGATCCGACCTCATCAGCAGTGCAACGAAAAGGAAATGCCAGAAAGGAATGCAACTGGATGCCGTTGGATATCCTTTTTTGCCGTGCACATCTGCAAAACGCAATGAGGCGCTGAACAATATGCTGCTAGTGGGCCCTTTTATCTCATCAATATGGCTAGCTGTACAACGGGACCCGCCGTCTCAGCTGGAAGGCATGGTGGCATGGTCTCATCCAGGCTAGGGCGCGGGGGACCCGTTCTGATCAGAGCGGTGAGAGCATCGCTCCATGGCAAGTTCATGTTTCCAGGGCTTCCTTGCCAAATACAACTCCTGCCCAAAAAATGGCTCGCCGTTCAACGCCTTTCCAACCTGGCCTGCGAAGACCGCCCCAAACCTGATGGAATTTTGGAGGTGGTCCAATGGTTTCCTATGAAACTGCAAAAGCAATCTCAGAGCATGGATACGGACATCTGCTACTCGTGCCGGTCGTCAGAACTGCTTTCTCTTTCAACCTTCCACAGAACATGTTTCTGGATGTCGTGCTTGTGGTCTGTTTCTCTGGCAAGTTCTGTTGCTTGTTTATAGGACGCTGGCTTACTGTGGACTTGCTGAACGAAACCAGCCATACATTCCTGCTATGGCACCCAACACTTCAAACAGCTCTTGACAAACTATAAACATGTGTTGTTCCATGGTTTTGCTTCGGAAGCATCCCAAACAAATCCTCAAAAACACACGCCCATGTGTAGGCTGACCCAAGCCACTGCACAAGAGACGCCAGCTGATCACCTTGGCATCAGCTCCTATGAGTCACCCCTTGGCCATAGCACGGCTGGAAAATCCATCACGGCAGCCCGCTTGGTTCCTGTACACCGGGCTCACTGTCTGCCTTTGGCAGGTTCGCACCTGGCATTGTTTAAAAAACGGCCATGCAAAAAGAGTTTAGAGGGAACCGTGGGTAGTTGCAATGTGAAAACTAAGAACTTCCCAACACATTTAGATCA